TGAGTAAGGTCTATCCTAGGCATTATATAGCTGCTCTCATCTATTTTTTTATCCTTCATATTATCTATATGGGTTGAACTCAGAAAAGAATCAATTTTTGAGTTACTCAGGTGGACATGCTTTTGTTTTTTTTAAGTCTTATTTTATTTTTTGTATTAAGTTGATTGGGGTGGAAAGGGTGAGCTAGATCTCCAGGGCCTTTTCTCTAAGGGCACTAATCCCATTCATGAGGGACCCATCCTCAGAAACTAATTACTCCAAAGACCTCATATCTTAATTCCATCACCTTGGACAGTAGGTCACCATATGAGTTATGCGGGAGGGGGAGGTGCACTCAGTCATTCTAAAGTTTCACAAAGACGTTTTAAGAACAGGCGGACCTCTCATCTTATGGGCGAGGGCCTGAGATCACATCTTCCCCGGAGTCATTCATGAATGTATTGTTTCGGCGGCAAAGGAGGTATGAAACATGAAGGCCTGACTGCACCTGCTTTCCCTCTTAGCGGAGAATCAAAAAATTGTCCCAATAACATTGTTTTAAAGAGAATAGTTGCAAAATACAGGAAACGGTAATTTTAAAAATAAAGGAAAGCAGTACAATTTTAACCTTTTCAAGTTGCCAAGAAAAAGTGGGGGGGCGGGGAAGAATAATTACTTTTTGCAAAGTAAAAATGGAATAGGAGCCAGGAGGATGGGAGAAAATGAGAGTAAAAAGTCATTTGCTCTTTCAAAACATGGGTGGGCTGCCCTGAGCTCTCGCTTCCTGCCATATCAGGGTCGCTGGGGTATGACCGTAGGCCTACCACGTGCCCTCGGTCCATACTTGCTGTTCTGATGTGAGTGGATCCTGCTGTAGAGAGGACCTCCCTGGCACACAGTGGGTTCAGGAGAAGAGAGACCACTTGAGGCGCATGTTAAAGGAGACTGGTACCCATCTTGGTTCACTGCTCTGGCTGCTCTTGCTTTTTATCCATTTCATTAAAAAAAAAAAATGGTAGGGACTCTAACCAGGTTTGTGTACAAAGCCAGCTCTCACCAATGTAAGCCTGATGCTTCTCTTCTGCAATTCTATAAGACGAAGGCGCTTAGACACGGGGCATTACATTAAGAAGCCCTTGGCGGCATAATTACTCCAGTGCTCTTAGTTCCACTCGTGCTTCTATGGCTTCAAAGCAACCGTCTGGTGCAAGGCGAGTCCCGAGTGGCTGGGTTCCTTTGCTCAGAAAGAGCCGTTTGTGCCTGAAGAGGCTTGCCGAGTCATGGTGACGGCTCAGGTCTGTAGTGGGAGCGAGGACTGTGGTGGGAAGTTCTGTCATCTATTTCTAGGCAAGAAGAGAAGGAAGGCTTCCTCCATTTGAGCATGCTGGGGCATTCTGCAAGGTAGTTTTCACACAAGTATGTCTGCTGGACACTCACGGGCCCTGCCACGCGTGACGGTGGCCACTGGTGCTCCAGGGTGGGCCTTGGGTGTAACTGTTCTCTTGGAAAACTGCATGGCCCCGCGTGTATCCTCCTTCCTCCTGCATTCAGCCAGGCAGAGCGGGGAATCGCATGGCTCTGATGAATGGCAGCTACTGTTTTATTATCACATTCAAATAACTGTCTGCCAAAAACTCCTATAAGAGAGAAAGGCTCACTCTCTTACTCTCAAGGTCATTACTGGACTCATTTCCTTCCCTGGAAAAGCACAGAGATGCCATCTAGCAGCCGCCCTCAGCAATTTCCTGCCCAGAAATGGTCCTTTCTCTCTAAAAGCAACAGCCGAGTTCCGACAAGCTTTCACTGTCTAAGAGAACTTGCTGGGAGAAGGATGGTCTGGCACAGGGCCTATACTTGAGACGCGCCATCACAAATGAAATTAATTAATATCTCCTCAATAGACAAAGTGATAGACCCATGAGTTGTAAATGGAACTGGAAACTCGTTAATAAGAATTTAATTAAGAAAACATAATTCTCATCATTTTCCTGAGAGGGAAAATTGATCGTCTGTCTGCATAAAAATACAAATAATTAGCGGTGAATGGCCTTCCTTTGTCGAAAGAAAATACTGATCTCGCCAGTTTTTCTGATGTATTAAATGAGAGAAAAGAAAGTAATCAGCACATGCTGAAAGTGAGTTCATCCTATCAATCTAGAGGTTTGGGCATTTAAAAAAAAATTTAAAGATAAATTTGAGCTACAAGTAACTTATCTTACCATAAGATGGCGATACTTAAGCACTTTATGAAATGTCATAGAAAATCTATAAATTTCAATCTCAGGTAAAATGATGATAAACATGAATACTACATAGTGTTTGTGAAATGGCACTGGTAATGTTGTTAGAAAGCCTTTTTGTTTGCAGGTAAATTAATATACAATGCACACCCTCCACAATTTAGATTTCCAACATTCGGCATGTGTGGTATAATTCTACACATGGAAAAATAAATCTCCCATTTTAAGAACTCTCCTGGTTTGTCAGTTATCCATATGTGGACATGCATATGCTTACCGTAAACAAACATAGCACACTTGAATACATTTATTTTAAAATGTTATTAGAAAAGATGTCAGTCCGAATATGTTAGTATGAACAAATCAGCTGTTTAAAATCACTGTGCATCCCAGTGTCATCACTTAATTATCACTTCCCAAAACTGTGGTCTTGAGTGGTCTTAGTGGATTTTTCATTTCAGTTTTACTAAACATAATCTCTATCATCAATATTAATTTTAGTAAGTAAAACCTTAAGTAGTTAGTATAATCATCCATAAAATCTGAGAGAATTCCTAGGTTCAAACCTGATGGATAATTACTTTAAGAATTAAATGGTGCTATTTGTGATGGGAGACAGGGTGGGGTGATAGATTGGCGATCAACCATAGTTTGATAAAGCATACAAAAGTAGCTTTTGTTCACTTTTAAAGCCATATTTTCCTCTCCCTGTTCAGAAACACTGATGGCCATGTTAATGTTCTCTCTAATGTCACATGCGGCCTAGGACCAGCAGTGTCTTCTCCTCTCTGCACACTGCAGGGCAGCGTCTGGGAGCTGAAAGGGACAGTTTGCAAAGTTAATGTGTGTGCCTGTCCTGCCTGGGCTTCTCCCTCATTTGTACCAAGCCTCCACAGTTAAATCCACGAAAAGCACACCCAGAAATAAGCTTATCCATACTAGAAAGGCTCCTATTGACTAAAAGTGGGTCATTTATCTGGAGGCATGATCTCAATATTTAATAGAAGCTTTTCTTTGTTTATATATATCAACATGGGAAAGAATGAAGGGCAAAGAAGTACAGATGCTTACGCATTAAAGATATACAAGAAATCACACACGAGTTCATTTTTAAGAATGACAGGATTCACGTTATGTCGAGTGATTCCCCCCCCCTCCCCTGCAGTAATTCAGGGAGTAGGTTTAATTTTAAAACTCGTTTTACCAAGAATATCTCAAGTGAGGTACATGATGGAATGTACTTAAAAGTTTCAACCAACACAATATAGTGACAGTGGCACGTGGCACTGTGAATCCAAAGGCGAAAAGAAAAATCAGATTTAGAAATGATAAAAACAAAGCCAACACTTTTGGGGTAGAGGCAGAATGCCTTAACGCTGACCATTAAGATCACCAAGGTGGAATTCACGCCGAAGATTTCAGGGGCAATAGAACCACCAGAGCTTGAAGAGAAAATGATTTGATTCTCATTAGGTCTCTCCAGACATGAAACGAGCACACACTTAACTCCGCGTCTACAGGACGTGTCTCTAACTTTTCGCTATGCGCTACATTGGGCCTACAAACACTGTCAACCACAGCATGAGATTATGCCTGGTTACATCTTAATTGTTTCTCATTCAGTGATGGAAAGAAAACGAATCTCTCTCCACCACAGAGATGGATGTGTAAAGCTTTAAATACATAACTTGCCAATATCCTCAAAGACAGCTTCAAATGGCATCATTTGTCCGGTTGTGTCCAGTGCTCTCGGCCAGAGAAATAAGTGATAATCATTTTTTTTTTAAATTGTAGCTCTTAGTCTTTGTAACCAGACGCCTAATTTCTTATTCCGTATAATGAAGATGATCGTACCATGCTGACGCTGTCAAATTCTCTCACTTTGACATCAAGACTTTTCCCTGCAAACATTTCTCGGGATTTTCCTGCCTTTTGAGGAGAAGGGCTCAGCCTTCACTCTCCTCCTGGCCAGAGCTGGCTCCTTTTCAGAGTTCAGCAGCCAGGCAACACCTCTGCCTCCCCAGGACTTGCACTTCCTGCCTTTTATCAGCGGTAATCAGGTAATCAGAACTTCCTCTGAGCCCCCTCTTCCTCTGGGAAAAAGCAAGCAGCCCGTGAACACCAGCCCCTGTCACCGACGCCTGCCTCCCGCCCGCACCCAGAGCCAGCCTGGCGCTGCCTGCGCCCTGAGTGCCACCAGCAGCAGCATCGCCGGTGCTTTTGGACACAAACCGCAGCAGCACGTCTGCCATGGGAGTCCTCCTCCCCCGGATCCGCTGGAAAACACACACACAGCCCTCCTGCTCCGCTCTCCACCGAGAGACGGTCCCCTTCACCATATCCTCGTCGATCCGTGTGGACAAATGTCATTGTTTCCGCCGCCTAACTCCCTGGCGTGACCCCCGCGACTTCCCCACGGCACGTTAGCGCTCGGACCCAGAACGAGCCGAGCCCATTCCCCTGAGAGAGCCGCATTGCCCGCTGCTCATCCTCATTCCCTCGGGTCCTGGTCCCTCCCCGCTTCCCAGACTCTACCTGGAGGCGCTATTCCTCAGCAGGCAGGCAGGCAGGCAGGCAGGCAGGCAGTTCACCTTGTTATCTATCACCCAAGCCCTGGACAAATGCTGGGTATCACAAGGTAGCCAGGACAGCCGTCTTGCATGCGGGTTTTTTTAGGGTGGTGGGGGGAGAGAATGTATTTATTTGCATTTTGGGTCGGTTGGTCGGTTTGTTTCCTATTGCACATTGATTCCGAGCCAAGAAGGAACGTATCTCGCCTACCTTGGAAGGACCCAGTCCAGCCAGCAGCGACAGCAGCAGCAGATTGAGCAGGCGGGACGTCGCCGGCTGCATCCTGACCTGGGTTCGGTGGTGCCCCCTCTTCACTCCCTCTTCTGCGGCCACTCCAGGGTCACTGCGGGGACCGACACCTGGCCCTCCGGTTGCACCCGCCGCCCGGCAGCCAGAGCCGCGCGGAGGAAAGACTGAGGCAGCCGCAGCAGCAGCCCCAGCAGCCGCCCTGGGGGGCGATCATTCCGCAGGCATCTCGGTGTCCAGGCTGCTCCCTGCTCCCAGCACGCAGCCCGCCCGCCCGCAGCTCCTGGCGGGGCGTCTGCAGCGGGCGCTGGCCGTGGTGCTGAAGCGCCTCCCAGCTGCGCGCCCGCCCCTCTGCCCTCGCCTCTCCTCCTCGCCAGTCCACCTCAAAAGTTTGGACCCAAGAAAGAGACCGAGGGAGTAGGCGCCTGGAGAGGTGTGGAGACCTGGACGACGGATATGACATCACTACAGCTCCTGAGGGCTCGGGGCGGGGCGGAGGAGGGGGGGAGGCGGGGGAATATTTTGTGGGGAATTTCTTAACCAAACGAGGATGCACTCTTAGCTCTGTGCAGCCTGTGCAGGTACCTTGAGCGGCAGGGAAGTAAAGCATAAGAGGGACACAGGATTATGAAACCAGCAGCGCCTGGAACCTTTTGCCTTCATTGGCAGAGGACTCGATAGCCTATGTATGTATCGCTTTCAACAAAGTTTGCGGTACAGCCTCTCCATGTATGTTTTCTGTCCGAGGCACCAAGTCTGGAGCTGTTCCATTGGCATATATGCACTGTCATGTAGGAATAGCCTCTTGGAATAATCTGTCTGGTTAGTACAAATGTGCATTTCTCTACCTAGGGCGTCTGAGCATCTGAAAATATTATATGCATACATAAATGAAGAGGCTGGCTCTTTTTACTTCTTCTTCTTATAAATGGGATATTGCATTAGTGACTCCCCACAGCTGAGATCTCTCCCCTCACGCACCGCGATACCCAGAAATATAATTTCCCTGTTGATTTGACTCCTGTTTACGCCTGAGGGGGGAATTCAGTGATGGATGGACAGTGGCATGGAAAAAATGATTACCCTAAGCTTCCAAAATACTTCCGTTTTCTAGAGCTCAAGAAAAGAGGCAGAATAGCTGCCTCCTAGGAGCAGAGAAAGAGTGAACGGCTAACCCTTACACCCTGCACCATTTAACTACTCTAAGCATCTTTATTGCTTTGAAGCTGGAAAATACAAGTGTTCTTCAGGATAACAAGGTGGGCAGGAGTTGGCAACCACTCTGACGTCTGCCTCTCATACAGTGATGGCCTTGGGCACTTCTTGAGTTACGTCTTCTGTTGATTTTTCTGGAAATGGTATTTCCCAAGGATTCAAATATGTGGATTGAAGCTATAAACGTTGCCTCCATATTAAAGAGATGACACATTGCTTGAGATATCAGACACATTCTATGTATAAAATCTCCACCAATCTCTCCCTAGAAACTTCATATTTTTAATATAAGAAATCTCAATTGGGATTCAAGACTTCTGAAAATTATAATTGCCAAGCATTTGCATCAGATTGCATCTAGTTTAGCCTGCTATTATATGTGTGAATTAATAAGAGGACAGATTCTATGAAACTTTGCCAGAGAAATGTGATGGATGATTGTACTTAGATACTGAAGTATGCAATGTGGTAATTATGCTACAAATGAAAACAGATGATCTTTGAATATTTACAACCTACTTGCCCTAAGAAAAGCTTAGTCATTTGTAGAGAGCAAACAAGTTTTGTAACAAACAACAAACAAACAAACAAACAAACAAAAAAACCCAACTCCTATATACAGGCCACTGAAAAACAAAAGCTGTAATAACACAAATTCACCAATAGTCTAATACTTCCTCTGTCACTCTTAAAAAATAAGATCTCACAGTTTTTCTGAAACAAAGTGTGTGTGTGTGTGTGTGTGTGTGTGTGTGTGTGTAGGAAGCCATTTGTTTCACAGTAAAGCTGTCTTATGCTTGCATACAATCAACTTGATGAGATTATGGATCACAGCACATCTTATTTGTCCATAGCCATTTACACAACATTCCTCCTGGGAAGAAAGTCCATGAAGCTCTTTGTAACTTGAGGCCAATATTAGCGATTCCCAAGAGTTCTGTCTCAGAGAGGAAATGGTAGGTCTGCTTTTGTGTTCACAGTCACTTCAGCTAGGTCACTGTAACTTAGATTGGTGATTGCAACTTAGAACAAAATGAAAAAAAAGTGATATATAGCATAGATTTAGAAATATTGCTTTTTCCAATACATGTATGAGAAAGTATTTGATATTTATGTATCTAATTAAAGTTAGCCTTCTAGGCCTACCATGGGTACAAAATTGCCTTGAAACTTATAAAGTCCTGCACAAATTTTAGCCAGCACTATCTACCGAAAAAGAAACTGATAGGAAATGGTGTACATATACAAAAACACAACAAAGGGTCTAACTTTTAAAAACATTTCTGCCCCGTATTACAAAAGTAACTTAATTGTATAATGAATTATATTTTAGCAGACTGTGTTCAGTGTGTGTTCATCTTCTTTTGATAAGAGTGTTTGGCATAGTTTTTTATATATTTCATACTGCACCAATATCCCAGGGATGTTCCATTTTGTTTAAAAAAATGCTGTTACTTATTATGATTTTCATCAATCATTTAACACTGATGGACTTAGCTGTTTTAGAGGGGAAAAAAGATTATCCAGCAGGTTATATAAACCCTTGAATAAATGTTCACCTTTCGTTATATAAGTGAGGATCATTTTTGATTTTTTATTTTCTCATGTCTTTGACCTGCCACACTTTCTTTTATTTGTTCCTCTTCAGTTCTCACTGGAGGCGACTTTTCTCTCTTGCTGGCTTTCAAGCCATGCCCATCGAGATCCCCTACCTCTCGGAACTACCCTGTCTAAAATAACACCCCAGTCATCCTCCATCTATTTTAAGTAGGTTGGTTATTTATTGTCTGCTTCTTGTATTAGAATATATTTCTAGGAGGAAGGCCCTTTGTCCATTTGCTGTTCTGCTGTAATCTAATCACCCGGAGTAGTGCCTGGCACCTGGCAGTGACTTAATCAATAATGATTTAATGAATGCATGAATGAGTGAATTTTCAACCCTAATTCCTTCTTGCAGGATATTTATATGCCCAAGGTTTGCTAGATGTCACTCAATTTCTTACAGGCACCTCAGACTCAATATTTCAAATCGATATTTTTCCCCCTCAATCCCATTAGTTTGTAGCACATTTTTTTTCTCCATTGCAAAGCAAGAAGCGTGAAAGTCACACTTGATCCTCCCCACCCCCATCTTTATCCCTGCTTGAAATCTATCAACAGTTCTGTTGACTTTTTCTCTATAATATCTCCAAATCCATCCACTTCTCCAGGTAGACCCAGATCAGACCCTCCTTGTACATGATCTAAATTATTTCAGTGGGTTTCGCCCCCTGGTTTTCACCAGTTTTGCTTCTGCTTTCAATCTTCAATTGAAACACTAATTTGGTCCTATTACTTCTTAGATTGAAGGCCTTCAGTGGCTTCCCGTCTTTGAGGGGATCCAGTGTGGAATCCTCAATATGGCTTATCCAGGGCTCTCCACAAGTTGGCCTTTTGCTCTCCCTCTTCCATCGCATATCTGACCACTGTCTCCCAATAATTAGAACCCAGTACAGTTTTAATGCTTATAGTCCTCTTAATACTGTTCTCCTTGGTCATGACTCGCTTTTCTTTTGCCTGAACAGTTTTTATTGTGCCTTTAAGTTTCCTTTTCGATGTCATCTTATCTGGAAAGTTTTTCCTGGGTCCCCAGTACCCTCCTTCCCCCAATAACATCTTGTGCACACTTTTATCATTTATATTTTCACTACATTGCTTTATTAGAATCTACCTGTGTGTGGGTTCTTCACCTGATTGTAAAACTCTTGTTTAGTTTATCAATTGCTGTGTAACTAACCCTTCCAACGGGTGGTGGTTTAAAACAAAAATATATCCTGAATCCTTGTGGGTCTTTGATAATTCTCACTGACAGTTTCTGATGCAGGAGACTGGAGTCATCTCACCCTAGACCTGGCTCGATGTCCAAGTGGCTTACCTATAATACATGGCTGGCTGCAGTTGCCCCTGGCTGTCAGCTAGTTGCTCAGGTGACGTGGTTGACCACCATGTCATCTCTTTGTGTGGCTCATGTTTCTTTCAGAAGAGCGCTGGGTTTTGTGCAAACCGCCCAAGAGCTGGTATTCTAAAAGACCTCAGCAGAAACCATAAACATTCTCCATTAGCTGAGTCAAGAGAAAAGTACAGTAGCTCAAACAGCTCATTCTCTGACACATCCTGTCTAGTTGGATTGTTTTTTTTTTCTTTTGCATGTCTATGTTCACAGTGGGAAATATTAATGATAGACGTTCAAGATAGCAGACTGGGCATCTGTGTTTATTACTTCTCCCTCTTATGATCCTCTTAACTCTATAGATCACGACTTGTTAAGGATGTTGTATAAAGTCAGGGGAGCAGAGATATCAAGGAAATGAGGTTTCAGTCAAATTGTGCAAGGTCACAGTTTGCAAGAGAGTGTGAATGAAGGAAAACGGGAGAGAAGACCACAGCCTTCCAGAGAGGGGATGCAGGGAGCTCTGCCCAGGGGGCAATGACAGGTTTAGAAGAGGAAGGTCTGCTTCCACTTCCTACTCTTCACACACCCCTGATCCTCAGAGCAAAGCAGCCTGATGGTCTCTCACAGGAAAACAACAAAGAGTGTTGTCTTAAACATGCAAGAAGCATCTCAAAAGAATCGTGAGTCAATGTGAGTTCTCTCCTAGGAAGTGGGTAGATCATTTGGAACCACCTCAGTTTAGCCTTTCACACCCCCATTCCCACACCCCGGAACACAACCAACCACTTTCTCCCTCCAGGGGCTGCTGCACACAGAACAACCCTGCTCTCCTAGCTCCCTATTTTTCAAAGTGATGTGATTTTCACAACATATTGGATGTGTGCAAAGTAATAAATACAGTGCAGATAAGTAAGGGACAACGAATACCCACTAATTCCAATCAATGGCCCCAGATTTGCCTTGACATTTGGCTTGGTTTTGTCCCACACGTTGCTTTTGTCTGTGTCCTTTCTGAGTGAGAGCATGCCAAGAATTTACTTCAGCAACAGGGGCAGTCACATACAGGAGAGGGGTCAAGGAGCAGCCTTTGGGGGAAAATCAACTTGACCTAATTTACCTAAAAACAGGTGCACTGGGTAAGCAGGACACAGACACGGGGGGCTTTGTTTTCTAATTGTCAAAATCGGCAGTCCTGGACTTTGAAGCTGTTCTCTCAGGTGATGGGAGAGGGATGGAGGGCACCAGGAGCTGTGGTTGCGTTAGAGCGACTGCAGGCCCATGGAAGCAAACACATCTTTGGTATTGAGCT